AACACAACTAGCTTCAGTTGTTTGACAATTAGATTTCCACGTACTCAGTCAGCCAACACAGCAGAGGACGAAGGAATCTGATTCCAGGCTCTGACACAACAAAGCTGAATAAAACGAAGCAGCGTGGAGCAGAGTGTGAAGGAATTAGTGGAGCTGTCCCAGTGAAGAGCACATGCAATACAAAAGAGAAGAGAGCAGGGTGGCACTGCTACCGTCTTTATGTCAGGAAACACAAGTGAAGTGGTTTCCTGTGTTGTGCCACTCATGTACCCACTGTGGACACGCTGACACGTGTTGCATGTATTTACAGATGATCTTGTATTATTCACATGTGTTCAAACCCCAGTTACAGTCTCATAATTAACCTGTGTGTGTGTGCCTTTGTGTGTGATGTGTTTATCTTCCCATGGTTGGTTTCCTGCTGCCCGTTATGACCGCGCTTATTCTTAAATTGTTCCTTGGTCGCAAATCCATGCAATGATTTATCGATCTTGCAGCGATGATCAACGGGTCCTCGCCGCAAAGAACACAAACAACTGCAACAACAATGACGGGTAAGATGACGTCCTCTCACACGTCTTTATTCTCGTCTCACTGATGAGTCAGACATTCTCCACGTCCGTGTACAGATTCTACAGCTGTCCACAAACCTTTCAGTTCAGGCAGCTGAATCAGTGCTGTGTCAAATCTGTGGTTCAGATGAGGGTCTGATTTGGGGCTGAGCAGTCGGTGAGCAGAGGTCTCATCGCTAAACGCATCGTCGCCATCGAAGGCAGCGTAGGATGTTTGTGACAGAGATGTGTGTTATTCTTGAGCTAGACTAGAGGCCGCCCTCAGGTGGAGTGTAAGGGCTGAGTTTAGGACTTTATTTAGAGAGATCAAACAAACTAAATGTGGGACAAAGACTAGAAGTGTGTCAAGAAGCATTTAGCATGTCAGTGTGACCTTCTCAGCTCCCTCGTTAATGACATTTACTCTCAATATACTGAGACTGTATTAAAGGAGCTCAGTTGAATTTAATGCTCTTTTATTCTCATGCATGGACTTTTTATACTAGTAGACTTTCAAACCGTTAACTGTCATTCAGGCGTCATTTTGTCTGGTGATCACTGGGGTTAAAGACAGGACGCATCCCTCGACAAGCACATCATTTCTGAGCTAGAGCTGGTAAAAATGAAAGTCTTGAGATCCACCTTCTAGCAGCTTCCGCCAGTTATTAGAAGCTTTTTGGGCTACTGTGTCAACAGTCACCCAAGTGTTGTTGTGATTTGGTGCTATATAAATAAGGTTGAAGAGGATGATTCTGACACAGGAGGAGATAGAAGATGATGAAAATGTCAGGAATACAGAGGATATTAAGAGTACATCCCCTACCTGTTTATGAACATTACAGAAAGAAGGACGACAAAAAGGATGAAAAGAAAGACGACAAAAAGGATGAAAAGAAAGACGACAAAAAGGATGAAAAGAA